AGATTTCTTAGTATTTTAAAGTGCCTTTATTATGCCTTTCTGATTAAAGTAGCTGTTTGTGAAGCACTCTTATATCAAAGCACATTTAGTTGAGACATCTCCAATGGGGTCAGAAGAATTTATTTAAATGCATTTAAAAATATATTATTGTTCTAACCCCATTTTGTGACAATTTTCAATGTTTTATCCATGCAGTCACTTTATTTTTGAGAAATTGTTCAAAAACCTTTCTTAGTATTTTGAATTGCTTTTATTATGCTTTTCTTAATCATTGAGAACCACCTTTATATGTAAATACATTTAGTTGAGAAGTCGCCGATGAGGTCTGTAGAGTTTGTTTAAATGCATTTAAATAAAGAGTATTTTTCTGAGCTCTTTGGTGTGTGACTTTTCAATGTTTTCACCCATGAAGTCGCTTTATTTTTAGTATTTTGTTCAAAAAAAATGCTTAGGATCTTAAAGTGCCTTTATTATGCATATCCGATTCACACGGTGAAATGTAGCTGTTTGTGAAGCATTCTTATATCCAAATACGTTTACTCAAAAAGTCTTCAACCGGGTCTGAAAAATTTGTTTAAATGCATTTAAAAATATATTATTATTTCGGACCCCATTGCGTGTCATTTTTCATCGCTTTTACCCATGAAGTCATTTTATTTTAAGCATTTTGTTCAAAAAGAATTCTTAAGATCTTAAAGTGCCTTTATTATGCCTTTCTGATTCATGCCGTGTGTAATGTAGCTGTTTGTGGATGTAAAAGCTTTGCAGTTTCAAAGACCGAAGTGCAGATAAATGGAGCTTTTGTCTTTCAAAAGAAAGAGATTCTGAACAGCCTGAAACAAGCCGTCATTAATTCCAGTTTTAGTTCCAGAACAAACCTACACAGACTGTGTAACAAATTAGCATAATGTCAATCAATGGTGTTTATTTAGAATAGAAAGGTAGGTCTGTTTTGACCCTCAAACACCGCAGTTGTAGTCAAAACTAAAAGAGTTTGGTTCATGTTGTCGAAATGTTGAAAAGAGACTGGCTGTTTCTCAATATGCGTTCTTAAGCATTCTTGTGTCCTTGTGATCTAGTATAACATCAGGATCAACTGCTAAAGTTCAGTTCCAAAACTGAAAAACCTGTGACAGAAACCGTATGCGTTTTTGATATCAAGGATACATCGATGCAGACTTGAGCACAAAATTCACTCGAGAAGTCCAAGAGGTCACTGAGGCTGAAAAAAGGCTGTGGAAAGCACAGCAATTTATATAGATTTATTATTAAAGGGCACCTATGGTGAAAAATATACTTTTTAAGCTGTTTGGACAGACATATGTGTAGGTATAGTGTATAGACGGTCATATTGGGGTGATATAAATACACACAGTCCTTTTTTTTTTTAATTTAACAACATAAAAACGGTGGACCAATGGGAGCGGTTTTTAGATCGATGGCAACTTGATGTAGGAGTGCGGTCCCCAGGGGCGTACTGGACATCTGGCAGACCGGGCACTTTCCCGGTGGGCCAACGTACGTTTTGGGCCGGGCTGATCATCGTCTTATGATCTGATCGGCCCATAAAAGGCTTAGAAGCCTATCGGTTTTTGTTTCTGCCTTATTAATTGACGCTGCTGTGATCTGTGACTCTCTGAAAGTAGATGCTTTTTTTCAGACTGGTCCGGCCCATGTGACGCTCTGCAGCCCATTGGCTCTTTTCGGTATTGACATTGGGCTGGCCCAATCACAGACTCCTATTTTGGACTCTGTGTGAGCGTGCGTCGTCTGTGTGTACTTGTCAAAATAGTCGAGAGTCAGAGAGAAGAAACGCAAGGGAGGCGCAGAGAAATCGCGGGAAATACACCGGCGTTTCATTTAGCGATTCTGAAAAGTTCTCTGTTCATTCTAGTACACGGCTAAAAGCGCAAATCACGTGACCACACACACACACTCCGCCAAGAGCTGCAGCCAGTAGTTAAGCGGGTGAGCATACACCCCAGGTGAGTGTATAGTGCACGTCAGACAGTTCATCTGCTGGATGATCTCATCTCACTATAGTTGTTAAACGTAATATTGAATTCATCTTGTTGTCTCTATCTAACAATTCTTATGTCTTTTGAATCACTTGTTCTCAGTTAACTGTTTTGGCTGAGTGCAAAGATAAGCTAATTTATGTAACCACATACACTGATTCG